GAGATTCCTATCCATTCCCTCCAGAAAATTTACCATTCTGATATTCCATTGAGGATATTCCTCTCGTTGAAGAGTTGGAGGCTTTGTGAGGGAACCAACATTGTAAGCGGAATTCCAGTTGGCCATTGAAAATTTTGAAGAAGAAGAGAGAATTTTTGATGAGAAAGAAGATTAAAATATTGAGAGATTTTAAGAGATCGTTTTGATTGGATAATCAATCAATAGGCTCTGATACCAATTGTTGATCCCAGATATCTCAATAACACTAATAATCTAGTTATAAATAACCAAATTATAGTGATTTAATGAAGAAAGTTATGAAGTCTCAARAATAAAATAAGAAAGCTTAAGAACAATTTTGAGCTTCAAAGGTTTTACTTTAKAGATTCATAAACGTAAAACAAAGAGTAAAAGCATTATTTTTACAATAGAACTAATCATCTATTTATACTAAACGACTATTAAGAAGATAATTATCTAATGATACTTTCTAGGAAATCGTCTAGCTAATAGATAGAGTTTATCTTTCTCATAGATAATCATTAACAATAAGATAAACTTGAATTCTAGCTGTTGATTTGTCATCTCCAGCTGTCATTCATGATATGATGACTTCATCCTTATCTTCAAATCTTCATTGATTTGTCATCTCCAGCTGTCATTCATGATATNTCATCTCCAGCTGTCATTCATGATATGATGACTTCATCCTTATCTTCAAATCTTCATTGATTTGTCATCTCCAGCTGTCATTCATGATATGATGAGGATGCTCTTTCCATCGCATCCTTGAACTTGTCCATTGATCCTCTGCTTGAACTTGTCCATTGGTCCAATGCTTGAACTTGTCCATCGGTCCAATGGTTGAACTATCCATCGATCCAATGGTTGAATTCCAGACTTAGTCGATTTTGCCTTGATGTGTTCATTGGTCTTCTGGTTCTTCATCATTTGTTGTTTTTCATTACTTTTTACATTTTGCACTGTGGAGTTTAACAAACAAAAAACACAAAAACTGTTAAGAAAACAGAAAAACAACGAAAACCGTCAAAATCAGTAAAAACAGTCAAAAACTATTAAAAAAAGTTAAAAACTATTAAAAACAGTCAGAAACGGTTAAAATTGATTAAAAACAGTCTACACGATCCAAATCAGTTTAAAATTTCTCAAACAGTTCAAAAACAGATTAAAAACAGTGAAAATAGAAAAAAAAAAAATATGATCCAAAGGATAATAAAATCTAGAAAAAAATTTGTAAAATAAAAGAAAATACAGCAAACAAAAAAAAATGGGCCATAAACAAAATTAAAAACAAATGGACTAAGGGGAAAAAAAATAGGATGGGCTTAAAATAATAAGCCCAAAAGAAATTAAGGTTGGGCTAAAAACAAAACAAAACCCAAATACAAACTCAACACAAAGTTGACCTAAGAAAGTCAAAATTAGAGAAAGATTAAAGCTTAAATTCTAAATCTGCTGAGATGAAATCTAGTCCGCGTGAAGAGATGATCTAGGAAGCGCATAAATTGCCTAAGCCTGTGTCCGGGGGACTGCCTAATCCAGATGAGTCTGTACGAGGTAGCTTAAATCGGATGGCTTGGTATGCGAGGGAGCTTAATCTGACTAACCTTAATACGATCATTGTATTGTGCGATGAAGGAACTAATACGGAAGGAACATTGATCGATTTACACCAAGTCCGGATGGAATTGAGTGTGCCTACCTTATCTTCAAGATCACCAACACATCAATCAATGCAGTATACAGTAGGAGTAAGGCCTAAAAAAACAAAATCTGATCAAATATCTGAGCACAATACTTGGCTAAATCTAATCTTCCCCAACTGCTTATTAAAATACAGAATGAATCCTCTGTGACACTACACCCAGAACTCCTAATTAGTTCAATAAGCTCCTAATAACTACACCCAGAACACCCAGAACAAATTTCCTCCTCCAAACTAGCCTTCGCGATTTCAACCTGTTCCTCACTCATGTCAGTCAAAACAAATTTGTTGACATCATCTTCCTGTTGCTCATTGAAAGCATTATTGTCCCTTCAAACCATGCATTAAACAACCACTCTCACAGAAATCAGATGATATGCCTTGCCCTAAATATCATTTCATCACACCATGTCATATATAGCAGCAGCTAGGACATTGACCGATGAGAATAGACTCACCCAAAAACATTTGTGGACTGCTGTTTCATATTTTCTCCAGCTTTTCAGCCTTCACCACAGGATTAGCTTTGGCTATTGCGTCTTTTGCAGTCGTTCGATAGTCGAATGGGCAGTCGTGTTTGTCAGAGTAACGATGAACTGAAATGTGAGTCCCTTTCATCAGTAACCTTCAGCATAATATCAAAGTCATGTTTTGATTCGTTAACAGCGGTTTCTTTAGGTTTTGCTATCTCTGGAATATGGTCACTGACCAAAGCTTTTAGTTCACTTTGTTATTCAAACTTTATATCTTAAAATCCGAAAGAGGCTTATCGATTTCTTCTAATTTGAGCAATTTCAAATGGCGGTTCTGGCTGTGGATCTAAATCGGCTCCAATGTTCTGTAAAACCCTGAATATCTACAAATCGATCAAATCTCAAATCGATCAAATCTGGCCACAAATGAAATTAGTCTAAGATCAGGATGAAGTCTGTCGAACGATTTAGGTTGAACAATACAGTCAGCGATTTAGAACAAGTCAAAATCGATAAACTTCAAGTCAAAATCGAACAAGAAATCAGATTTAGAACAAGAAATCGGATGAGGCAGTGAGCGGATTAGGAGAAATCGATTGTGCCTTTGTGCGATTTAGCGATGAGTTAAGCGATGCAGATGAAATCCGATGAAGACGTGAGCAATTTAAAAAATCTGAATCTGGCTGAGTTGAGCGATTTAGAAATCCGGAGAAGATGAGCGATTCACTAATCCGATTGAGCCTGAGCGATTAAGCTTGAATATGTATGACGTTGTGCGATGAAGTGATAATCCGGATGAAGTTGCCTGCGATTTAAAGAAAAACAGTGAAATGGATTGAGCGATGAAAAAGAATACAGATGGTGAAGGGATGAAGAAGAAACCGGTCAAGATGGTGACCGGGCTAGAAGAAGGCCTAAAAGAAATAAGGAAGAATGGCCCAAAAAAAATATTAAGAGAGAAAAACATGCTAAGACTACAAACCAAACACAAAAACAAGTGATTTAAGACTTTAATCCTATCAATATCAAATCACAACAAAAACACAAAAAAAAAAAACTCAACTTTTTAACACAATTTTGGATCAACAACTAAATTTTTAATTTTTTTATCAAGAACACAAAAAAATTTCAAATTCACAAATTTTATCAAATCTTCAAAACTAGTGATCAAAAACATGAAATCTTGTAAATAACAAAAATTCACAATGCAAAAACGCACACATGATCACGATTTTAACACAAAAACGCAATATTTTAATTTTTTTTTCATCAAACTCAAAAGAATATGAAAAACAAAATGAACACATGATGAACAGAAGAAGATTTCCAGAAAATTTCTTAAAAAAAATTATTTCTTCATGTTGATTTCTTGCACAACTTGCTCTGATACCAATTGAAAGGTCACTATGATCAATCTCCAATGAAACTCTAAACATCCATGGCAATCTTCAAGATTAAGCATCCAAGAACTTGAGATAGAGATGAGAGAGAAAGTCAAAGCTCCAAATATTGGTCAATGCTTTATTACGTAAAACTGATATTACAATAAGCTTCCTTACAAAATTTACAAAGACAAACCCTTTATATAAGGTCAAACTTGAAAGCCTAGTCAAAGTCAAACTACACTAGAAAAGTCAAACACGATGACTTTTACAATTGTTGTTGGACCCAGATACTCTAAATTTGCAGAAATATTGTTTGCTAGAATTAAGAATCAAGAAGAACAGTGTATTTCTATTGATTAAACTGGATATTCAAAGAAAACATAAAGCAGTAACATAATGCTTTTAATAACCGAATGCTTTTATTAAAATGAAGAACAATTGAAGAACAAACGTAATCTCACAAGAATTTGCTTATAGTATTAGTCGGCTCCTTCAAGTAATTTAAACCTGAGGCGGAGGCCTCCTTTTATACGCCTAGGTCTAACTAACTATGCTATAAATTAGGCGTGGAACTCTGAGCTGACTAGTCTGCATCCTTATCTTTCACTTTCCTTGATTAGCGGAGCAGACTTGGTCAAGCCGCCTTTAAGCTGTTAGACGCTTGCGAGAATGTCTAGGCTAACGCGCACTTTCCGTGAAGAATGTAGCCAGATGCTCTGCATAAACATACAGAAGCTCTGCATGTGCTATGCAGAGGCTCTGCATGTGCTGAAGCTTTGCATGTACTATGCAGAGGCTTTGGGTCTTGGAGTTGTTGCTTTAAGTCAAGCGCTTACGCTTTTGGTGCACAAGACTTGAACGTCAACGGAGATGGAGCGCGGGCTCTGTATAACGGAACCTTCACTCTGAGTAAGAGCTCTGGTCCTTGATCCTCTGCATGAAAGCTCTTAGCCAGATTGCTTCAATAGACTAAGTCCTATTTGACTAGAGCAAGATACTTCTTATTTACATTTTTACAAGTTTGGGGTCTAACAATCTCCCCCTAAGTGTAAAGAAGAATGATTCTTACTTGATTTATGTAACAGATCTAATTGAAGACAGAGGTTAAAAACATCCTCTGGTTTACATTGACTATCTAATTAAGTACAATACGATTGAAATTGAAATTACATTGAATCAAAAATAAGAAGGTACTTACGAAAGATAAGAGGTCTTAAACATTTTGAAGTTTAATGAATTTTCTGAGAAGTTCACGAAACTCAAGCATATTTCGAATGGACCTTAGAACTATTGTGGCACGCTTCTTGGCTCCAGGGGAGTTGTCTCTGCTCCTGACCAGATTGTCTCTTATATAGCACAGAGTAGAGTTGGAGTACTTGTAATTTTGGTTGTCTCGAAAGAAGATCTTCTGATTATGCTCATTTCGAAACACCACTCCCACTTCTGGTTCCACCAGAACCGTCTAGGAGGGAATGTTGTTGATGTCGTGTAATTCTTCATTTGGGGCAGCCACTGTCATTTAATCCACTCCTAGATCCAGAGCTAGTTGGAAGTCAAACTTGCTTCTGTAATCAAGCATATCTATCATTGTTTGGCGAATGGCAGACTTGGCAACAACGAACTTCACTCCCTTGTCCTTCTTGTGGTCTGTAAAGTAGAACATATGAAGAAGATCCCACGAATTTAGATTAATGAGGTCACAATCTGTGAACCTACATATCCGTCCGTGAGTCCTCTCAACTGTGTACTCGTAGAACACTATATGATTATGCACAAAGGTGCGCTTCTTTATGTCCAGGACTGTTTTATTCCATCAGCAAAGTGGACTACAGTGATTGGTTGAGTATATCGATTGAGGAATCTCTGCCTGATGTGGTCTTGAGCCATAGGATGGAGACTGATCTTCTGGACCGGTGTCTCTTCCGTTTGGTTGTAGAGGAACTGGTAGATTTTCTTCCTATCTGCCTTGTCCTTGATGGGTTTGTCGAGGGGTGTTGGTTTTAACATGGCATCCATGCTTGCTTTGATCCTTTGGACACGATCAGGGGGATGCTTCCATTTTTACCCTATCGTTGTGCCTTCTGAGTCTTCTCTGTTTGGATTGATCGGTACTTGCTTCATCGCAGGAGTGACAATCCTGGTCCCTTGAGTAGGGACCCTAGCTCTGTGGGTACTTGGATGTAGTGGAGGAGCAGCAACGGTTACTTCTTCTAGAGGAATGGCAACCGAAATGTGTAGTAGTGACGGATCAACCACATTCACGGCGACCACCTCTTCTTCTTGTTGAGCTGTTGTTGAGGGAGCAGCCATGTCCATAGCGTACTCTGTTGAGGAGGACAGAGCCAGGTCTAAGTCGTCTGATCCATAGGTAGATAGAAGGTCGATCACTTCTGTAGACTTATGTGGCACGGCTGGCTCTACCTCTGATGCCATGGGCATTTTCCCTTTGCATAGTGCCTCTGCGTTGTTTGGCACTTGCTGGCTTTGTCTGCTCTTCTTTGATTGACTTTGATGGCGTGGGGCAGAGGACGATGGTGCAGAGGGGACAACCAGAGGTGTTGTACTTGGTGTGGCTGTAGGCAGGTTCTCCCCCTTTTGGTGATTTTGAGGACAAGACTCATTTGGGTCTTCATCATCATCAAGTCGCCTCCTCTTTGACGGTTCAGCATATGGAGATGGATCTTGTTGTCACTTAGTTCTCTCATCCTCTGCTCGAGACATGGATTTGATCACCTCCTCGATGGTCTTGAGGAGTTCGTCGACTGCAACGGCAACCCTTCGCACTTCGTTGTCTGAACGGTAGTTGAATTGTGCGAGAGTGTCGTTGATGTTCTTTGCTGCTGTTGTGGCCTTGCTTTTAAAATCCGCAGTGAAGTCCGCCACCTTCTGTAGGAGCCTGTCACCCAGAGCATTCATGGCGCTCTGTGTGACATAGTCTACAGGTATACTCAGAGGTATGAGGGCCTGGTTGTTGATCGATGTAGACGCCTCAACCCTCTGTAGAGATGCAACGATCTGCTATAATGTTGCTGTATTGGTTGCCTTCAATTCTATTAGAGTGTTGTTACGAGAAGAATTTATCGTGGACTCAGCTCTTAGTACTGCCAAGGATGCTCATATCTCATCCAAATCAGGTGTACAAGGTGACGGCTCTACACGGGCCATGCTGAGTTTTAACTCTTCCAAGGAGCATCGCATAGAGGTGAAAAGGGAATGGAACTCTTCCCTAGTGACATATGCAGATGTTGTAACCTCTGGCTCAACATATGGGCCAGATTGTGTCCCCGTTCTAGGGACGCCTTCTTTTAGGCGAGCGATTTTTGCTTGACGAGCCTTTTCTGCCCTCTCCTCCTCTACTCGTTCTGCCTCAGCCTTCTTCTGCTTCTCCCTCTCAGATTTCTTTTTCCTTGCCTCCTCTTGTTTTCTTTCTTTTTCTCATTCTTGTAGTGCTCTCACCCTTTCTTCCTCTGCTCTCATTCTTTCTTCTCCTGCTCTTACCGTTTCTCCCTCGGCCGGAGGCATTGATGTATCCTCAGTTCTCTCTTCTTCCTCGGCTGCTTCTATGCATACCGGGGTTCGAGACACCAGTTCTAGTGTCTCGCATGTACGTCTGTATGCTCTCCTAATCTCCTTAGACTTCATGTAGCTCATGAGCCTCTTTGGAATAGGTCTTTCTGCTTCATAACCCTCCTTGTGCACTGTTGGTCTATATTGAGTGAGTACGTTGACCTTATGAGGAGGTAGATGACCCACATCAATATTGTTATCATCAAGAGCTAGTCGTAAGAGAAGACCCAAGAATTGGGGAAACAACAAGGATGGCAACTGTCTTCCTTTGGCCACTTCTTGACACTTTTTGGCCATGGCGGCTTTGAACTCGGTGTAGAGTATCAAGGAGTAGTCAAGGGACAAGTCGAAGAAAAAGATGTAGATGATTTGAAGTATGCTTGTGGAGCACATATCGAGGCTCCTTATCTTCCCTGTCAGCGAGCGATTGACCAATGTGAAAAGTGTATTCCACATCGGTGGTAAGTGTTGACGGCGATACTGTGACGGGTATTAAATGGCCTTGTTGTATCCCAAGAACTTTAAAAAAGTTACAATTTCGTCCCCGGAAGGGAGAGGGGGGTATTCAGAAAGCCCCAGGTCAGTTTTTGTTGGGATTTCCAGAACTCGTGAAAAAAAGGATCTTGAAATTCGAACTGTGACGAATTCTTGTGTGGCAGAGACGAAGAAATCTCTTATGGTCCCTCTTTGAGATTCAGTAACGGCGCAGGATTGCCAATATTCTTGTATATATCTCTCAGGAACCAAGTCATCGGTGTTGGTCAAGGCTGGGTTCAAGAAGTGGTTTTGGAGAATGTTGATGATGGGATGATATTTGGTGTCGAAGTTGTCAAGTTGAAGGTTTAGGGCATGGTTATTTGGTTTGATGGGGATGGGAACTAGGTTTTGACTGGTATCTTCCATAGTTTTGTGGGTTGTGGTATGAGTTTGGGAGTTTCCAGATTCTGAGGAGGACATTGTTGCAGGTTTTGGGTTTGGAAGGGGATAACAGATTTTTAGGATTTCAATAAATACTTCTTGAATCAAGAAATGGGACGAGGGAACGAATTTGTGGTACTTACTTGTTGAACAGGATGATTGGTTGAAGATTGAAACGATCTTTAAGCACAGATTTGAGAGCTTTGAGTTCTAGCAATGGCGGTTGAAAGGTTGAAGATGACGGGAGTTCTTGAGAAATTTTGTAAGCATAAAAGATTAATTTGGGGGTAAAGAAATTGTTTAAATAGAAAAATAAAAATAAAACACTTGAGTGTTTTAGCGCCCCAAATGTCAGGTAAAACTGAACCGGTTTTCTCAAAGCCTGTGGGGGCGTGCCACGTGGATTGCCAGCTGTAAGTGGCGCCTCCCACGTTTGAAAAGATTAGCTCACAGGCGGTGATGCTTATTGTGGCCAATAGCTTTTATTAAACAATTAAAATAAACTTTACACCTTCTTAATTAAATAATATACTTTAATTTTCAAAAACAACAAGAAAAATTTCTAAGTGTAAATGCTCTGGTTCGAGAAAAGTAGAGGTTTCGACTAGAACTAGAGAACTATATGCAGAAGAAGACATACCTTAGGATCTCAGACAGAGATTCGTGATTAGACTATACATGTCCTCTGGAGAAAATTTTGCCATGTTTAGAGGCAGAGGCTCTGTATAGTACATACAGAGGCTCTATTCTATAATCATGAGTTTTAACGCAGAGGCTCTGTATAGTACATACAGAGGCTCTGTTCTGAGATGATGTTGTGCTCCCCCTTGAGTTGAGCTTTTCTTATCTGCTCCCTCTTGAACTATGCTTGGATCATTTGTGATAAGTAGAGTACATGCATAATGATCGAGGTACAGAGGCTCTGTATGTACTATACAGAGGCTCTGTATCACAAAAGAACTAGGAAAAGCAAGAGGCTCTGCATAAACTATGTAGAGGCTCTGTCTCATGGATCAATACAAATAAAACAGAGGTATGTATCAAGGAATGCAGAGGCTCTGTATAGTGCATACAGAGGCTCTGGTTTAGCTTGAGAGATTTAGCATACCCAACTTGCTAACTAGAAAATTGAATCTCTTTTCATCAAGAGGTTTTGTAAACATGTCAGCAAGTTGTAAATCTGTGTTTACAAAGAACATTTCAATCGTACCTTTCTCTACATGGCCTTGATGAAATGGTATCGAACATCGATGTGCTTTGTTTTTGAGTGTTGCACAGGGTTGGCTGTGATTGCAATAGCACTTTCTGAGTCACACATAATTGGAATCTTCTCAAACTCTACGCCATAGTCTTTCTGTTTAGTCTTCATCCATATCACTTGGGAACAGCAGCTGGCTGCAGCTACATACTCTACTTCAGTGGTGGAAGTAGAGACGCAGTTCTGCTTTTTCGAAGTCCAGCTTATGAGTTTGTCCCCAAGTAATTGGTAGCTTCCTGATGTACTCTTTCAATCGAGTTTACAGCCTGCATGATCATAATCTGTGTACGCAATAAGATCGAAACCAGAATGCTTTAAATACCAAAAACCCAAAAATTGAGTCCCTTTAAGGTATCTAAAGATTCTTTTTACAGCCGAAAGGTGATATTCCTTTGGATTTGCTTGAAAACGGGAACAGAGACATGTGGCAAACATGATGTCTGGTCTACTAGCCGTGAGGTACAATAGTGATCCAATCATTACATGATACGTCTTAACATCCACCGATTTTCCAGATGGATCTCTGTCAAGCTTAGTACCCGTAGCGATTGGTGTTCTCATGGTGGAAGAGTTGTGGAGTTGGTACTTCTTTAATATGTCGGAGACATACTTAGCTTGGCTAATGAAGATACCATCCTCCCTCTGTTTTACTTGCAAGCCGAGGAAGAAGGTCAATTCTCCCATCATGCTCATTTCAAACTCGCTCTTCATTAATCCAGAGAACTTATCACAATGCCTCTGGTTCGTTGAACTAAAGATGATGTCGTCCACATATATATGTACTAAGAGCATCTCACCTTTATACCTCTTAATAAACAAAGTTGTATCGATTTTACCTTTTTCAAAACCATTAGATAAGAGGAAAGACGAGAGACGTTCATACCAGGTTCGAGGTGCTTTCTTAATTGCATACAGAGCTTTGTCTAAGAAATAGACATACTCTGGATGTGTGGAGCTTTCAAACCCCGGAGGTTGTTGAACGTAGACTT